AAAACCTGTTTGGGGGGGACAGATAAGCACATTTGAGAGTCAGGAAGAAACTACCCCATGGCACAGATAGCGAGGAACCCGGCACGTCCACAGATGTCCTGAAATCACATTGCCGAACTGGCCATGGGAAAACAACCTGCTCCATACCCACAACCAGCAACCAGCCTGGCCCGAGGGCCTAGAGGGAGAAACGCCTTCATTCCCGGTGGATTTGGGAGTCACCCTGATGCAGCAGGCAGCAGGGAGGGTCCTGTCCCCAAGAAGCCACCCCTGTCCCTTGCTAGGATTTCCCAAGATGCTGATAGCCAAGTAGGGTCTCCCTGTCTCCTTTGGTCGTCCCTGACGGAATGGCTGCGGCGGGAGCTTGGCGCAGCGGGCACAGCGAGCCGAGCAGGGAACAAAGGGAACAGGGATGCGCCGGCTGATCCTTTGTCACCCGCCAGGCTGCCGGCGTTCGGGAGCTGGGAGGCGAGCGAGCAGCCGGCGCCGCTGCAGAGCCCTGCGCTTTCCCCGCAGCCCCAGCCCCCGGGGGGCCAGACGAGGTGGAGCCTGTCCCGGCAGTTCCTACGGGAATTGCAGCAAGTGCGGTGCCTCCTCGGGAACCACGCGTGAGGGGAGGATCTGGGATGCTGCGGGGCTGTTCTTTCATGCTCCAAAGGAAGACAGGGAGGGCACCACTCCCTGCACGGTGAATAGTGACAGGAGCGGCTCCGCAAGGCTCTGCCCACGGCTGCCGGGAACTTGTATATGAAGTGCCATGATCACTGCACTCCCCCTTACAACAACAACGCAGGGTCAACGGCAGGCACACAGGGAGACACAACACCCCAAAGCCAATGCTGCTGGAGGTCAACCTCCCCCAGGGCTTCCTTTGCTCGCATGTCCCCGATGTCCCCACGGTGGCTGTCCCCGTGCTCGGCAGGAGGTGCCACCTGCCCTGGCCTCGGCAGACAAGATCCCCGTGGCTCTGGGCAAAGAGGGGCGATTGTCACCACTCCCCACGCACTCGTGTGCCATAAGCAACACTAAACGGTGCCACTTGTTGAAGCAGCGAGCAGGGCTGGCAGGAGGAGGCACGCGATGCCGCCTCCGACCTGTCTTGCGCCAGCACGAGCCCTTGTTGCTCTGTGTGCCTGCTGTGCACCCCCGAGCCGCAAACAGCTCGCAGCAGACACCCCGGGAGCCAGCGAGCTCCAGCCAAGGGTTTCACGTGCACCCCCGTCCATAAAGCACCAG